GAGTTTGGGAATCAGCTCTGAGTCTGTGTGTTGTGTGTGTGTGTGTGTGTGTGTGTGTGTGTGTGTGTGTGTGTGTGTGTGTGTGTGTGTGTGTGTGTTTCGCCAGGCGCTCTTGGCCTGCCAGCTCCTAACTGCTCCGCTCCAGTGGCTTCCTCAGCCTGAACTGCGGATGTTCAGCTTAACTCTGCGGTGACAGAGAGAGCCACAGACTGTGAAACACATTGCTGCTGCATTTCCATTCTAATYATTCTGACTAATCCATATGGTTGTGTGTGAGTTTGTGCAGGTTCATCACCAGTGCCATGGAAGCAATGCTCTCGACATGAGGCAGGTGGTGTTAAGAGTGTGTGCGTGTGTCATAATAGCTCTTTCCCCTAAGCGGTGCATGAATAAACCATGGTATACTCAACTGTGRGGACTGCATGTCTTCCCTGATTCATTCAACAAATCAGAAACTATGTGCCTCTCTTCGATTTGTTGCTCACATCCTACTTGTCAGACTGCTTACATGCCTTACAGACCAGAACACAAAACAGAGCAGACATTATTGGTGCTACAGCAGGATTAAATAACTTACCAACAGTCTTGACGGTAATTGTCTTGGTGTCCGAGACTTCTCCAATCTTCTCCCAGTTTAAATCCTGTTCCCCGCCGGTTCGAAGCCACTCGGTAGCTGTGCAGTGGTACTGACCCTCGTCCCCAGGTAAGGCGTTGTAAAGCGACAGAGTGAATGTGTCAGGGCGAACTTTCTCCACGCGAACTTCTCCGTAACTGGAGCGCTCTCTGTAGGCGGGGCCGTGAAACACAGAGCCCTCCCGGTCCAGMGAGGCCACTTCCTGGATCGGCCCGGTTGTTTGCTTGTCCATCCACTGCCAGACAACGGAGAGTGGGCCCGTAGTGGACTGGACCAAACAGGTCAAATGGATCGGGTCGCCTTCTAGGACCTCAGAGGAGTTGCTGGACAGCGAGATTGTGATGTTGCTCTCTGAAAATAAACACAACGGCACAAAAAGGTCAAGAATTTTGTTATCTTCCCACTGAGAGGATGAATCATTTGGTCAATTTTGTGAAAAACACTCAAGAAATCTGCATATTTTTCAAAGCAATATGTGAAAATCTGAAGGAATACAAATAATTCATTTGGTGCTTTTGAGAGACTGATTTTCAAGGAAGTGCAGCCTCAAGTCTTTTTCATATTAAAAATTGTTTGAAATCCAATCTTTAGCTGCTCAGTAAGGTTTCAATTTCATCCTTTGGTTTGGCAAATTAACCCAAGGATAAGCATTTTGTAGAAGGAACTTTTCAATTTGAATTCAACTATGTTTTTCTTAAATGCTGACCAATCTCCCTGAAAATCAGAAGATCATCCCTCCCTCCACCCACCGCAAAGACAATCCTTTGGTTTGGTGCATGTCGATATATGCATTTACCACTAATTTTTACAACTAAAACTACAATTTTGTTCAACCAGAAGGTATGAAAGTTGCAAAATAATAATCAATATTCCTTTCTTTGAAATTATTATTATTATTTTGTTGCGATAATTCATCTACACAACCATAAGTGTTATTTGTGCATTAATTGTATAAATTTATAACTTGCACTGAAAAAGTATGACGAAGTTTTGTGTTTTTTAGTCTAAAGGCAAATATTCTCAAAACAATGTAGGCACACAATTTGTATTTGTTTTTAAGTACAAACGACATGATTGCACACCCTCCCGTGTAAAGCTTGCTAAGACCCAGTGATAAAACCTCAGTAATGGGGTCTTTGTGTGCAGCTTGGGAACAATAAGTTGTAGCAAACTTGTGTTTGTGTCTGCATGGCTGCACATTAGGAAGGGAGAGCAGGGATCAAATTAGATGACAGCTCTAAAATAGGGGATTTTATTTTAACATTATTTTTTTATACCTCTGTGAAATTTTGCAATGCCTAGATCCTCTTGGCCTGAAACAAACCGCAGTCTCAAGTCTCACTCTAATGRAATTTACTATTTCTTTCTCATTCAGGTGGGCTCCTATGTGGCTGAATTTGGGACAAATTGAATTCAGCCAGTGTTATTTAGGCTGGGTTCAAACAGCAAGATAATTATGCAGATTTTTGGTCCCATTTTGCCCTTCTGACATTCTTKAGGACGCTCCGATTATCGTGTAGGCTCTACGGATAATATTATGAGKTTTTCCTGCCTTTTGTGGTGTTTAAAATGATCTATTCAGCTCAGAAGGACATTGAGACCGCTCTGATCTCAAATCGGGGATATTCAACATTTTGGATCATCTTGGCCCGATATTCCAGAGTGRGTGATGTTCCCTGAGGACAAACAAGTTCCCAGCCTGTTGAATATGACGTYGCCAATKAGAGGGTGAGGTGACAGAAAAACAGAGGAGAATCCAAAATACAGAAGACAAAATACCTGCCATGCTCACCAGAAAGTCTGGTGGACGTATTTTGTTTTTATCTCTTAAAAAGAGTCTACAAACTATCACCATTGCTTTTTCCTTTAAACTCTAAACTCATATTTAGAGATGTTCATGAGATTTCTTGACTGAAATCMAAATATTCGTGAGTGAAATTTGTTTGTATGTTCTTTTGCCCTGTGGCTGTACACCACACACCGTAGGACCAAACCTCTATGATTTGTTTTATCCTTGTGTGGTCTTCTCAGTCTTTGAGGATCAGACGGCAATTTTAAAATCTTGCCATGTGAACCAGGCATTACTTGCCTATATAATGATGGTAAAACTGCTGTGTTTTATAATAGGAGTGGTAGTCATAAATAGGCGTCATGATCAGAGATATGATTTTAAAACACAATGAAACACGTCACACCTGAAACCAGTAGTTGTTTTTCACAGTCACCAGCAGTCTGTTTGAGGTTCTCCAATGTTTTTTTAATTGAAACATAGTCTCTGATCAAGTAATGGTAATGGTAATGGTAATTGGGGATGGGTACAACCCAGGTGAGCGGGGGCCTCATAAGTGGG